AAATTTGAGAAAGTGTTCTTTTCTTGTCCTACCAACTTAATGGGCACAGAATTATTTTTTTTGAAATTTAAATTGTAGTATTTTTGACTTTGGTTTTGTCTCAGGGAAACCACTTTAAGGATACTCGATACAAATGAAAAATGGTTATTGTTTGTGATACAATGAGATTTTTCCACAATGAGATTTTTTTCCTGAGAAGAAATTGTGACCAACCAAATAACAAATAAAATTCATGTACAATCAGGGCATGTTCAAACCAGCAACCAAGGGTTTAGAAAAGGAAAGAGAGAAAAAAGGGGGAAAAATGGTATCTTTCTTTTATCAGATATCTGAGCAATTTACATATTTAGTTCTTGCATATAGTAAAAAAATAGACACTGTGATCTGATCATTACAGCATTTCTAGATAACAAAACTATCTGTAGTTAAATACTGATGATTCATAATCATGCCCTTGGAGATTTTGTTTTCATAGCTTGTTTGCAGTAGTTTTTCTTTGCTTGTTAATCTCTGCTCATATTTAATTCTGCAGACCATCATTGTACATTTCTGACCATATTACATCTGCTACTCTCTCGAAGCCCCTCCCCTGGAGTGGACCACTACGTTTCCATAGTAACTGTTACAAAACTATTGTTCCTGGGGTAGCAGGAGGGGAGAAAGCAAAGCAGAAGAAAAAGACTAAATCTGGGTAGTTGGAGAATAAAACATCCTCAACATTACTGCAAGCTACGACGAACTTTTTTCTGCTTCCTTATTTGGAAAGGTACTTAGAACTTTTCGGAGTAGCATTTCCAGGCAAATAATACCCTCCTCTCTCTGAGACCAATGGTAGGAAATCCCTCTTCTATCTTCCATGACCATGACAGTCCAGAGTGGATCAAGGTAATGTACACATCCCCATCCCTCCCACCCACCGTTCATTCTTTCCATTTGACAGTAGTGCATGGCATATGATTGCTTCAAACTGGAACACAAAGCTTTGTAATTCAGCATGAAAAAATCACTTACTGAACTCATTGATCTATTCAGTCCATTGGATATGTAATTTGGGATATTGTGTACATGTATACCCTAAGTCATACCTCAGGAATGATGAGAACTTTTCTTATTTGGATTGATTCTCTTACCTCAGTCTAGAGAACACTTATTTTTGTAGCTGGGAAGAGCAGGAGTCCCTCGCTGGGAGCAAAAGAACTGTTTGGGGAATCCTAGAGTGTTTATTCCCATGTTCATCTTCCATGCAGAAATACCTGTTTGCAAAAGGAATTCTTTTGCTAAAGAGGATTTGGAAATCTGATCCAGTAGACAGGGTAGCATCGGTCTAGGTCTCAGTCTCGGAAGGAAGTCTGAGCCCTCTCTCCCTTTTTAATATGAGAATTCGAAAGCAGTGGGGAAGTGATGTTGGACCTATCACAGCATTGCTAACAGACAGCCTATTACAGTATTTAATAAAAACAGAAACAGCATGCCTATCATAGGCTAATAAATCCTACCTCCTGCACGCTTTAAAAACAGTATGAAGCAGCTCTAACGGAGCTTCGGATAACTAATGGCAAGCATGGCTGTCTAGCGTGCCTGTCACTCCTATTGTCCTTCCAAACTCTTTCAGACATTTTGAGCAGGGAGTATTAAAGCTATGAGTTAGCAAGGGTTGTGACATTAATGGTCCACAAAGGCTTTAGGCACGAGAAGTAATGATGATTACCAGTGGCTATTGGGAGGACTGCACTGGATTGCTGTCACTAGAAATTAAGCGTGGCTTTTGAGGAAGATGTGACAACTACCGGAGGTAGGATTTGCATGTATAACAAAGAGATCTGTTGCTGTTCCGTGCTTTTTGTTTGCTCCATGCTGTGTGGGTCGTGAATCCTGAATCGCAGCCAGGTGCGGACTGAGAGGAAGGAAGGGGAGAGAGAGGGGAGTGGGAGACGGTCTGCTTAGAGCAAAACACAGTGGATAGTGTTGTTTTATGGCAGAAACGCCTCGAGGACAAACTGGCTCCAGCCTCGTAGCCTGCTGAGTGTGCATTCCACGTTGCTTTTCCTGTGGAGTAGAATGTTTAGAGGTCATGGAGAAAACAGTTTGTCTCTTATCTCTAATGCCAGCTGGGCTGTCGGTAGGGTTGAGTGAAGACTTTGGTGTGTGGGAAGCATAAAGGTCCAAGAAAAATTAAAAAGGGGAAGCTGTCCTTAAGACTTGAAACCTGTTAGGTAAAACATTTTATTCCCATGGTCAATGTGCTTTGATGGACAGAGTCTAATTTTTAAAGGGGGAAATTGGAAGATTACAATGGATTTCTCTGATAAAGAATTCTTTCGGATTTAATCTATCATAAAAGAAAATTGGGTACTTTCGTCCATTTTGCATATTGAAAGGCTGATCCACATTGTTTTGTGTTAAAGCAGAGCAAGAGTTTTAAACTAAAAAGAGGGGCTTTCTTTCTGTTCCTGCTCTTGCTTTTGAACTGCCGGGGCTGCAGATGGAAATGGTGATTCATTAAAGGTTATGAACTTGACGTTTTCCTTTTTTTTTTTTTCCTTAAATAAACGTCATGAAAGTACAATTCTCCTTGAAAGAGGAGAGGGGCAGCTGGGTTCCACAGTCCGGTGGATAATGAGTAGATTGCAGAGGAAATTATACTACTTTATACTTCACATGGGATCGGTATAGCTCAGTCAGAAAAGGAAATGTCAGAAAACCACAGGCTGAGATTTTTAAATCAAAAGTGCAATGATCAGAAACCAATGTTTCCCTAACTTGATCTGTGGTGCAAGTTTCAGCCTTTGTCATTGCATATGACCCTCAATGTGAAGTGGCAGAAACATAGTGAGTGAATTTCTCAGTGCTGTGCATTGTTTTCCTGATGGACTTCACAAACTCCAAGATGTAAAGATGTTTGTTTATATTTTGAAAAACTCTTTGTTCTGACGCATTGATTTGGTTATGATGAATGGCAAAGATACATGAAATAATTGTATATTTATAAAAGAATGTAATATTCTTCACATGCATCTAAAACTTCTCTATTAATGGAGTATTAACTAGAAATAAAAGTAAAAGACAATTATAGTATTTTTGTTTTGAGCTAAATTGTAGAATTAAGGCTAAGTGGGGCCTTTGCTCTTCTCTAATGCAGTTGAGTTTGTGCATTTGTGAACTTCTGTGTATATACCTCCATTCACATACGGAGTTGAAATCATTGCTCCATAATGGGTGGCATCTATGTTAAAGTTATGTGTTTGTTTTTTCTAACAGTGTGATGGATATTATTAAACTAGCTGAAATCTCTGGACTGGTCTTTATGTGACTAGGAGTACATGTTCATAAAATGACTGCATAGAATTCCCGGAGCATTTGATGGCTATGACATAGTTTTCTACTTCTATGTGGCCAGTGAAATGTGTGACCTTGACCTTGTAAAGTCCCTTTCTCTAGCCAATTGAGCTCACCAGTCAAGAATCCATGTATAAAAAGAGAGAGCTTGAAATAATGAACAAAAATACACAAATACATTTTATTCACTGTTGTCAGAAGTTTACAACTGGATATTATTTCTGTTGTTTTCATTAATTTCATTAATTTTGAAAGGACTTTCACTGGTGTGGTCTTACTAGTGTCTTCTGAATCTAATTGCATCAAGTATTTAGAGGCAATTCATGCCATGAAAATTGTCAACAGGAGAAATTATTTTGCTGTGGTCATGTTCATAACACTTTACTGATAAACTAAAATGGTTTTTCACAATTTTCACAGATTTATGGGGAAAAGTTCCTATACTAAATCTTGATGGTATATGTGTCTAGACTGTACTCCTACAACATGAAAAATATTGGGAAGATGTGATTTTTTTCCTTATAAGCTGTGGGAAAAGCCAAATCAAGTAATTTAGTCAAAACAGTCTACTTTATATCACAAATTAATTTCATTGCCCATTTACTTTGGTAGATATCAGCCAAAGCATTTCCAGATATTCCTCCCTTTCGGTTTCTGCTACATCTAGTAATGAAAAACAAACAATTCTCCAGCTATACAGAAAGCAAATCTGGAATCCATCCTGACTTAAAGAATAAAGCTTTGCTTTAATCAGTCTTGTTTTCTCAGTCCCCATGGGTAGCACAGCCGTCATATCAGTCACCAAGACACTTAGAATCCAGAGTTTTTCATGCTCTCTGTCTCTCTCATATACACATGCAGTTATCATCCTCCTTTATTGGAAGATATTGGACCAGACATTTCTCAGACTAACACAATGTTCTCTTTAATCATCTCCCTCCTTTCATCAAAATATGATGAAAAATGGATCTTCTAAAAATTTTCCTATTATATCAAATAAAAAAGTAAACAATAATGTATATATAATAAAATCCTAATTTTATTAATATATATGTGTGTAAGAAAATACTAAAAAAAATATGCACCAAAGTGTTAGCAGCAGTTATCTCAGTGTGGTGTAATTGGTGCATTTTATTCTCTTTATTCATTTGCATGGCTGCTAATTTTTTTTCAAAGAGCATGTATTATATTAACAGCTACAAGAAGACTTATCTATGTCTCCTTTTCCAATTATGTGGCCATCTTTGTTCATTATCTTGCTTCATATCGTGTAATATGCTTCACTCCAAATTCCAAAGTCATTTGTTTTTCCAAGCAACACTGAGCAGTGGTGCCATTCTCCTGTCAGAGCCCCTTTCTCCTGGGATTTCTTAATATGTCATGGAAAACTCAGCATCATCCTTTCCCAGAGACTGACTCCTACCACAAAACTCAGATTTCCTGGAAAAGAAAATTGTGTGGGTGTAATTTTTCCTTATTTTATAAATAGAGAATTTTTCAATTTCCTTTACTGATTTCTTGTTATCTTCTTAGTCTTTAAATGTTTGAGTATTCCACGGCTCAACTATAAATCTCTTCTTTATCTATACTTAAGCCCTAAATAAGCCCAATCCTGTCTCGAGACCTTAGGAACTATCCATATGCAGACAGCTCACAAATTCTAATCCTGAATCTGAACTTTTCCTCTAAGCTCCATACCCATATCCAACTACCTACATAACATTGCCACTCAAATTTCATATAAGCATCTCATACTTACCATGTTCAAAATAAAATTTCTGAATTTCCATACAAAATGTCTTCCTCCCATATTTTTCTTTATGTATGTAAATAGAAACTCCATCGTGCCACTTACTCAGAAGAAAGATCTTAGAGATCTCTTTGATTCTCTCTTTCCTTCACATGTCCCAGAAAGTCTCATTGCCTCTACCTTCAAACTATATCTAGGGTTTAGCTTCTTATTATCATTTCTACTGCTACCACTCTGGGCAAATTTCCAACTCAGATTAGTGCATTTTTTCACAGTGGGGCTGTTGTTTCTGTCTCTCCCTGCTCCCCAACACATATTTGATTCCATCCAATACCAGTGGTCATTTCGAAATTGAAGTTAAAGCATATCTTCTGCTCAGAAGCCTCCATTGTCTTCTTATCTGATTGCAGATAATATCCAAAGCCTCTCGGTGGTCCACAGGTCCTGGAATGATCTGGTTTCTCCCTGGCCTCCTCTGCTACCACTCTCCCGTTCCCATCAACTTCAGCCACACTGGCCTCCGGGCTAGTTCTCAAACCTACCGAGCACTCTCAAACCTCAGGCCTCAGGGCCTGCCACCTACAAAATTCTTCCCCTCGAGAGCCACCTCTCTCAGTTTCTCACTTTTCTCAGGCCTCTACTAAATGCCCCTTTATCAGAGAAGACTTCCCTGAAAACCGTCTTTCAAATTACACCTCCTTACATATTTCTAATCCTTAGCCAATGCTTCCTTTTTCTCCTGAATACCATGTTATCCCCAATATAATACATGCTAAGTTTTTATTGTCCATCTCCCTTCTGCTAGAATGTAAACTCTATGAAAGCAAGGATTTTGCTTTGTTCCCTGATGTATTTATAGCATGTAGAATAGGGCCTCTTATGTAGTAGGCACTCAGTAAGCAATTGTTAATGAATAAGTGGTTCTATGTAAAAATTGAATGTTTTCCTCCATGAAAATCCATTTAGCAGCATTAGATTTCAAGCATAAGTTATTCGATCTCAAAGAAGGAGCTCTGTGCCATAACACCCCGTTATTTTTCCAAAAAAAAGACATTGAACACCTTCAAGAAAGATTCATGAAGATGATTTTCTTTCCCCTCCCTGCACAGGTGGGGGGAAAAATCACATCACTAATTCCAAACCATGTCACAGCAAATAAAAATTCAATTTGCCTGAATTTGATCTTATCCAAAAGATGACTTCTATTTCAAAAAGGACATCTTCACAGATCCCCTGTACAAGTGATTATGGATGTAAACATGTCTTACATTTTCTCTGCTCTCCCTTGGTGATGACGGAGGGGATGGAGAGGAAGGTCTGGCTGGGTTCAGTTTGCCTTTCTGAGGATATAAACCCCAGTAGCCTATGTGGCAATAGGAATCAACCAATAGTAATCAATAATTGTACTCTTCATGTACATTCTCTCATAAGCAGCATGGCACAATCTCAGTCTGCTTAACAGTGACCTCTCTACCATTAGCAAAGTATGTCTTCAAATAATTAAACTATAATAAAATAATCTTTTTGTCCAAATCAGGTATAAGAAATAATAGCCAATATTTCTGGAATGTTTTAGAGTCTAGAGAGGAAGTATGATGTGAAAAGGACACAGCATCTGAGACAAGCACGAGTTTTAATAATAGATAAACTTGGTCTGAATCTCACCTTCTCTACTTCATAGCTATGTAACTTTGGGCAGTTCTCAA